GACCAGCAACAGTGCCAAGTTTAGAAGAAATTGGTAAAGCGGTTACCAAGATATACACATGTAACCATAAGTGNGCCAGCAACAGTGCCAAGTTTAGAAGAAATTGGTAAAGCGGTTACCAAGATATACACATGTTACCATAAGTGGGCGTGGCTACGCCCATTTTCCAAAAATTTATAATATTCTTATTTTTCGTCTAAAACTTATTGTAAATATCAATTTTGAGTGAATAATCTCCAGTAGTTACTAAAATATCGCAGTTTTCGTATTTCTGAAAATTACCGTTATATGGGAAGTGGGCGTGGTTACAGTCCGATTTCGCCCATTTTTAATACCAACCTACCTTGGATAAAGGGAGACCTACATGCCAAATTTCGTTGAGAAATCTCAATTTTTGCCCGAGGTATCGTGTACACGTACGAGCGGACAGACGGACAGACAGACATGGCTTAATCGATTTCTTTTTTCATCCTGATCATTTATGTATACATTTGTCTATATCTATCTCGATTCGTTTTGGCTGTTACAAACAACCGTTATGTGAACAAAATTAATATACCCTTGTGCACAAGTTCGCTCGGGTATAAAACATTTAGGTATGTTTAAATCAGAAATGTTTTTTTTTGTTGACCATTGACTTCGGAAATCACGATAGTTTGGCTCTTTTCTGCAATACTTGGAGCTCAAAATACTACTTCATTTAGGTCTGTATTAATTTCCGATCGCTAGATATTTGCGTTTATATATAAATTTTTTTTAGTTGAACTTTGACCTTGGAATTCAAGGTCGAGAAACTGTTTTTGAAGAATCTGAATAATTTTCCCCTATTCACCAGTACTTGGGCTTTATAATGCCGTTTAGTTTGTGTCTCTATCTGGTTTGGATCGGAGATATTTGATTTTGTCCATTTTTTTCCAAAACAGAACACAGTGCGGCGCCTGCGGATATTGCAGACAGAGTTGTCGCAGCACGAACTGCTATTAGGCTAAGGGAGACCGGGTCCTTTTGTGACAGAAAAAAGGAAAAGAAGACGTTTCTCTGCTGCAGCAAATGTTTTTATACGGCACTTTAAACTACTTTTTGTAGCGCAGACACGACACGAGTGACCCATCGTTACGGTGACCATATTAACCAACGTAAAATAAAGGACATCTTTTTCAAAATGATTTGGAAATACGTACATACAACTTGTATGATAAAAGTACCTTGCCCATATCGTAATTTAAGTCAAATATTTACCAGTTAATTATATTAATTAATTGTATAAATTCCCCTGCTGTAGTGAAAAATGAAGCCAAATCCTTTTCAAGGACTTCGCCATCCTGTGCTACCAAAATGCATTTACCATAATTCATACTGCACGACGAAGCCAACACACAGTGGTTCAAAATTGGCACTTAATGTTCATAATCCACTGTAGCCTTCATTTTTCCACCAATTTTTGTTAAAAACCAAAAAAAAAAAGATATTTATTTTGGTGAACATTTTTTTATAACATTTCAAAATTTTTTTGTGTATTTTTTTGTTTTAGGAGAACCATACAAATGTTTTCAGCTAGCTTTTGATATGTAACATTTATTAACTGGAACAGGAGAATACATTTTCGTCAAAACTGCTACTTTTTGTGCATTTTGCACGAAAAAATTTTAAATAATCAAATTAAAATTCAGAAAGCAGGCTCAACTGGTCTCTTGCAAATATTGTAAGCTTTCATAAAAAATAACAATTAATCAAATTAAGCGAAAAATTAAGTGAATGAATGCCAATTTTGAACCACTGTACAGCAGGGGGTTTATTGTTCTCTGGAACTGGAAACTCAGCGTGCAACACGATCCCTGCACAACTTTCCCTGTGCTTTATAGAATGTACAAAGATTACCGATTAAATAGAGGATAGAACTGGCGAAAGTTTTCAGTATATTTTATAAGGGACATTTATATTTTTCATATTCTGCGTTTAAAAATTTACCTCTGAAAAATGTAGAGCCGATTTAAAGGACAGTTTAAGAAATAAAGGACAAAAGGCGTCCTTTATTTTGAAAAAAATTATAAAGGACAGGGGTAACCCCCAGTAATAAAGGACTGTCCTTTAAAATAAAGGACGGATGGTCAACGTACCCATCGTTACCCCTTAAAGGTGTCGAAAAACACGTTACCTCTCAAGGGCTAGTGATGGGGGTTCTGACAGGCCATTGTGCGATTGGTATTCATGCGGTAAGACTTGGAATTTCAACTGGTCCTTTTGTATCCGCTGTCAAGAGGAAGACTTAGACTCTTAGGGCTGGTTTCTCCAACTCAACTTAACTTAGTTAAGACGAATTTCTTGGCTCAGTCAAGAATAAGCTGTGTAAAACGTAGGCTAACTTTTGACTTAAGTCCGAAAAGTGGCTAAACTAAGTTAAGTTGAGTTGAAGAAACCAGCCCTTAAACCTTCGCGAGGCTAAGATGGAAGCATTTTGGCTCGCACTTCTGAACAAACACTGAGCTATCAGGGATCGAAATTAGCCTCATTCGAAATTTCGTAATCGGCTAGAGGCGTTAACCTAACCCAACCTAACCTGTATTTCTTTGAGCTATGAAATAGTTGGTCACATTACTGATTACACATCGCATGTTATTTTTTCATGTTGCTTACTTTTAGCAATGTGGCGCTTTTCATTTAGAATAAAATATAATATGGTATAAAATAAACAAAAGTGCTACAAATTAAATACTAAACGCTAAAGCAAACGATCATTTCTATAAAAATGTTTTAAATTGGTACAAAATCACAAAAAATGTAAGAGTAACTCATTTTTATTCATATCAAAAAGGTGTTTAATATTTCAAAAACAGCAGTATTAAAAATGTTAAAAAAAAATAAGTAAATCAAAGATTGGTTGAGGGGAAAAATTTGTTGTGTTCTTGAAAATTCGGTAAAAAAATGTACTTTTAAATTATATTTTAGGTGTGGCTACCACTGCTAAGCAGGTATTGAAATCGCTCAAAACTTGTTAATCGGGGCTTTTTGCGGGCGCTGATTACACTATGCGACAGTCAAAATCGGGATGGGATGAAACCAACGGGAAATGTTATATCGGTCAAAACAAGTTATACGTGTCCCGGCGTTTCGCTGGGTCACGTCTAGGAATCGNATTTAAAAGTTAACATGTTTACCGAATTTCCATGAATATAACCCATTTTTAACCTGTACCAATTTTGGAGACAGGATGGATGAACTTTAAACAACTTATCCGCCATTTTTAATTTAAAAAAATGTATGGTTATGTATATATATTAAAACCCCGAGTGACAAATTTCAAATGAATCCAATCATTTTTCAAAACTTTGTCCGCCACATTATAATAATAGATTGGCGCTTACACATATGTTAGTGTTTGGCCGAGCTTCTCCTCCGCCACATTATATTTTAAAAAAAGTCACTAATCATTTGAGATAAAATAGTTTTACCGAATATCAGCGATGTTTTTACCTGAACCAATTTGAATATTTGAAACCTGCGTCGGGTATATAAAGTTCGATTTCGCCCAAACTTATACTTCTGTACTTGTTTTTAATTATTTTCCTTTATATATGGTAGGTACATAAATTTACGACTTAAAATAGTTATTTTCGTTAACAGCAATGAAATAAGACTACATTAGGTTATTATTCAATTTAAAACAATAAAATATATTTAGAATAAACAACTAAATCTTTTAACAATAAAAAAATTATCAAAAAAGGTTGATAAAAAAGTGCTAAGTCCACATTAAAAGAACAAAATCATAAAGAGAAAATGTGGTGAGTCCCAAAAGAGCCTATAAGTCTGCAACAGCTTTATTTTGAAATTAGCCGATTATTGGTACTAAAACAAGACGAACTAAGGGAGAAAACTGCATTTACAGATTAGGAAAATATTAACAACAAAAAAAGTTAGACGGGCTTTTGTCCCTCCTGAAAATTTAAAAGAGCTTGTAAAAAAATGGACTTAGCACATTTGCGCTCTAAGCCAACGATATATGTAAGTATTAATATACTTATTTAGTATGTATGCCCCACGAGCCTTTATAACAGCTGAAATCCTTTGCGACATCAAGTTTATACGAGTTTGACAGTAATGAACCGTTATTTAATTTTTCCACGCATCTGAGATTGCCTATTTCAATACTCCTGATTCCTGGAAGTTTTCTTGTTCACATAATTCTTGACAATAGCCCAGCAGTTCTCTGTCTGATTCAAATCTATGTCATTTTCGATTGTTATCTATGTTATTTCGATTCAAATATTCGGTTACGCTTTTGAACAGAAAGGAGAAAATTGTTTTAATATTCTTGGTAACTTTGTTATTTAACACTGAAAGTGTTCCTTACTCATCGCGAAAAATTGGACTTACAACCAAAGAAAACAGGGCGCCAAGTCTCGTTCAATGAAATTGTGGAGTGAATATGAAAAATTCAGTGTCAGTGAAAACTTAATTTTTCCACTTGATTATTTCATTACATAATCATAACCCTTCGGAGGGCACGCCGTGGCTAATTAGCCGCAAACATTTTAATTTGTGGTTTTCAAATGCTAATTGTAGCAGCCGGCCATTGCCACTTAGTGACTTTGTATGTTTTGAGATGCAGCATGGTTCACAGTTAGCTGTTACTTGCTGCGTTGTATCGTTTAGCTGATTTTTTGTATTTGAAATTTGCTGTCTCATATATGCGGCTGAATTTCTGCGTCGCAGCATTCCGTTTACAAAATAAAAATTGAATGAAACTCGCAAAATTTTTTTAAGGTAGTTGGAATAGTGAGTTTGTGATATGGGCCTAATCAAAATTTTTATTTTGTAAGTATTTTGTCATGTGTAATTTGTAATTTGTAACTATTACGGTATTCATTTTCTTAGGTTTTAGGGGAAAAAGGATGTTTTTAAATGATGTATTTTAGAACGAATTTCCGTCATCCCTAGTCAAATTTGGTTTGGAGACAAACTGGTTTCGGCATTGTGCCATCTTCAATGTCATTTTTCGGAAACAATAATAACAAAAAAGGAGATGTTTTTAAACTTTTATAGAAGCGAACCAGCTACGAAACAGAAATTGAAACCTAGAATATGTACCAGGAATAATAAGACAAAAATTTGTTGTATTAATTGTAACAAAAATGTTTGCAGAAAACATTGCAAGCATATTTCACAATGTGTAGAATGTACCAACACCACTGTTGATGATGGCGCATAAAAATTTAAAAAATAAATGCTTATAATATGTTTCACTAAAAACACAAATTATTCAGATGTTTTATTTGAATTATTTCTCGACATAAAAAAAACTACGGTCAGCCTTTGAGATACACCTTGCAGCTAAATTGGCGCGGCCCTCTCGTGTAACTTTCAAAGCGCGCCCTCCGAAGGTTTAAGCGGTTCTCGATCATTTTTTATTAACATCTAGCAAGTATGTACAGTGGCTCACATAATTGAGCGTACACCAATAATTATTGAAAATAAACTTTAATATCGACTTACGTACCGAGCCGATAACTATTTTTTTTGTATGTATTGATAGTTAAAGACTTATAGAACTTATAGAAGGAAAATCAAAAACAATATTTTCAAAAAAAACCATTGCAAATTTTATTAATATTAAAAAAAAATGAAAATTCATAGCACTAAATTGAGCGTACACTTCAGGAAAAAAATGCAAAGATTTAAAATATTAGAAAATTAGTAGTCTGTTGGCCCGCCTCCCGCATCTATTACAGCTTGCATCTGTCGTGGCATGGATTCACTTAATTCGTGTATATAAGATGGCGAAATTGCCTCCCATGCCTTTTGTATTTCACGTTTTAACTCCTCTTTATGGCTAGGATAAATATTTCGCAATTTTGACTTAACTTCTGCCCACAAATTCTCTATCGGGTTCATATCTGGCGATTGCGGTGGTGTTTTAAGTTGTTTGGGGACATTGTACAGCAGCCATTCCCGAACTATATACGCAGTATGCTTGGAATCATTATCTTGTTGAAACCAAAATACAGGTGGTAGGTTGAGTTTTGTGACGCTTCGACGTAAATTTCGGCGCAAAATGCCCACATAGCCTTCTTTAGTCAAATTTCCTTCAATAAACCGTGTTTTACAGTTTTAACTACGTTTTTGTTTTGAAGCTTAGAATTCGGTTTTCTCCAAACGATTTGCTTTCCGTCTGATCCCCAAAGATTTATTTTTGTCTCATCTGTAAATAATACACTTTACCAAAAGCTTAATGGCTTGTTAAGATGAGCCCTAGCGAATTCCAAACGTTTCGTCTTATTTGTTGAAGAAATAAATGGCTTTTTTCGGGCGATACGACCATGAAAGTCATTTTTTCGCAGCACGCGACGGACGGTTTCAGTAGACAGTGATTTATTGATGGCGCCTGATATCTCTGTTGTCCATTTAGGAAGGCTAATCTTAGGGTTCATTTGTACTTTTCGGACGATATTACGTTCATCAACAGCCGTTAGTATTTTTTTCCGCCCTCTTCCTGGATTATTTTTTAATGTTCCCTCATAGCGCCACTTATCAATAATTTTCTGAACGGTACTATGTCGCCTTTCAATGATGGAACCAATTTCCCGATAAGATTCACCTTCACAGCAGAGTTTAATAACCATCTCTCGTAATTCAATAGAAGTTTGTTTCCTTTTACTCGCCATACCGATGACAACGCACACAATAAACTGAATATTATTCAGAAATGGATGTGATAACTGTGTCCAAGCATGCTTCGTTAAAAACAAATTATGCATTATAAGTTTAAAATTGGAATTTTGCATGTGTACGCTCAATTTTGTGTATTGAATTTATCTTTAGTTTTTAGTTTATGGATATTTTACGCAATAGAATGGTCAAATAAACAAAAGATAAAGATCGTAAGAAAGTAAAACCATTCTGGAATAGTTCATGTAAAAAAAATATGGTTTCTAATGATACATCATTCAATATATCCACAGTTTTCTGACAAAACGAAGTGTACGCTCAATTATGTGAGCCACTGTATGTATTTGGTAAATTATTGTGAGTTTAAGATAATGATATTCTTTGTCACAAGATGATGGTGTTGAGAAAAATTCCACAAATTCTAAATTTTCCACAGCCCCAATTCTTTGTCAAAATAAAAACGTGATAAAAAGTTTTTTGACAAATGAATTTATTTCCATTTGAAAGCAGAATCGCAATTTTATGTGAAGCGATGAAAAATGTTTTACTTCATGTTTTTACAGAACAAGAATTGGCCCAGAGCATCTAACGAGGGCTTTAATGTTATCAATATATACAGCAACGCATGATTCAATTCCCAACAAGCAAAATAAACTTAAAGAAAGTTTTTTAAGTTTTCAATTATAAACATTAAGCTTACAAAACGTTGATTTTTTGTTTATAAAACGCTTGAAAGTAAGCGTAATATAATCAAAAAGGAACATTGGTTATAAGCGTAGAAATATAAACTTGTAATAAATGTTCAAAAGAAAGCTTTTTATAAGCGTAAAAGTGTAAACTTATAATAAAGGTTCAAAAAAAATTTGTATACGCGAATATAAACTTACTAAAGGTTTTCAAAACAAAGCTATTTATAAACATTTTTATAACCCTTTATTTAAAGATATTTCATTAAAAACTCATACATAGATTGCTTAACATCTAGAAACTAAACGAAATGCGAATTTTCGGCGGACTCATCTACAGTCGCGAAAATATAAATAGGGAATAGACATTTTAGCATACAAATTCACGATAACACACAAAAATTAAGCATAAAAAAGTTAATTATTACATCTTGTTGCGTGCTTTCAATTACATGCGGTTATTGGCAAATTGGAAAAACGACATCGATGCAGCTATATATTCCGGTTCATCTCCACCATTCTCAGTGATGAACTTTTCTGAAAAAAATTTAATACATTTTTAATTGAATGTTAAACTAAGAAAGGATAAGGAGAACTCATCATTTGAAGACTCGAATGCTCCGCCGATAAGCGCAGCGGGTCCTGGATTGGATTTTTTTATACCGCATCGGTTTTATTTAATTTTTTCTTTTAATAATATATTTTAAAAAACGTAAACACGTCACTTACGATTGAAAAAATGTTATATTTACTACTTCATGTCGTTGGCATTTGCATTTCATTTATAAGTTTAAGTTATTTATAAACATTCGCTCTCAAAACTTATTAAAGGTTTATTTGAAAAAACTTTAAATAAGCTTAATATTAAAAATGCTTATTTAACGCTTATTATAGCAAACTTACTTTAAGTTATTTTTAAAAACATTTACTGAAATGCTTGTTGGGTTATTAAAGGTTTTGTAAGTAGCTATTTTCTAAAATTTGACACTCCCACCCACAGGGATGGTTTTTGGAAGCAGGAGAAAAAGGCGAAGAATTCAATCACACTTCCTAAATGGTAGCCAAATTCTACAAAAAGGCGTGGATAATGGTGCATCGTGGTGTTTTAATACAAAAACGAATTTGATTTAATTAATTAATTTAAACCAGCTTATTTACATCAAATACAACCCCTGATTATTATTAAAATTAAATTTTGCTATGAATATACCAAAATTGCGTACGTCAGACGGCGCATAACTCAAGAATGGATGGTCCCCTTAGAGCTATCATTTTTATTGTTTGTCTGCCTTGTAAATTATTTGCGATACCATTTACATTAGATAGATATGAAGAAGCTATTTGTTTGTGGAAAAATTATGGAGTTTTGATTTAAAAACCCCAAATAAAAACATTTGGAGCTTATGATTCTTTCGCGATTATGGCTCGATTGCTTCGAATATGCTAACCCGAGTTCTTTGATATTGCACTTTTAGTGCTCTGGGGAGATTATGCCGCCGTCAGAATATTAAACATTGGCTTATACAGTCGCGATTGGCGCTTCGTGCCGGACGACAGGAAGAATAAAAAGGACACGCAGCTACTGAACGACTGAGACAGGGAACGTGATCTACATCGTCAAATGAGAAGTGCCGTAAGTGTGCAATTATATCGCGCCATTGAGTAAACCGAGC